TTGATGTAGTAGCACTAGTCATTTTGATTTGGCTGTAAGATTTAGCTATAAGGAATTGTTTTCTGCGTTTTGAAACCAAAATAATTTCTCATTTGAAGCAATAAGCTAGAATCTGTTATACACATGAACTTATTTGATGACTGCAAGACCTATATTAATTTCTTGGATGATCAAATTGACTATTTTCGGTATGATATCCTGGAAGTTTGAATTTTACATATATATATATATATTCCACTAGAGGGCTTTCATATTGTCTGACTTGTTCTCTCAATGTACTTACAAACACAATATTACCTTTCCGTTTGTGGTGCCTTGTATGTGATGGCTTGAACCTTACTATTCCTAATTTTCTAACTGGTTGAGGATATGTTTGCTCTGCTTGATTATCTCCATATTTCACACATATGCTAGTTTCATATTTTATAGTCTTCCATTTCTACAACAAACGTTTGTCATAAATGCGAAGCTGACACAGCAATGATGTAATTTGCATTATCATATAAGCGTACTTTCTCCGTCTCTTTCTCCATCGATATATATTCCCCTTATTTAAGTCATCATATATTATATCTGACCATAGTGTCTTAAATCTTTGGTGGTCATTTGTGTTTTTGGGGTTTTGATGAGTATATGAATTTGGTTCTGGATGAGGCCAAAGAAGTTAGCATCAAGAAAAAAACCAGAAAGTCATTGGGTGAGTCTCCTTGCCTTTCGCTCTTCTGCTAACCTATGCTTGTGCAATCTCTAAATTGTTTTTTATTGTTATCTGTGTTGTTCCAATTCATCTATTATGCTTAATTATTTTGTTCTTATTTCTTGTTGTTAGATTTGGTGAACAACCTTGGTACCATTGCAAGGGTGGCACCAAGGAATTAATGGAAGCCTTGGCTGCTGGTGCTTATCTTGTTGCAGATAAGGTCATTGTTACAACCAAGCACAATGATCATGAGAAGTATGTGTGGGAGCCACTCCGATTCAATGTTTATGGTATGTGGAGTGATGAATGATCAATCAATTATGCAAATGAAATGATCTAGTTGATTTTGAGTGGTATGAAGTTGTAAACTTTTATTGTACCTATTATGCAAATGAAATGATGTAGTTGTTAACTTCCAGTAAGTGGTATGAACAGTTGTTATACTGTTCATACCTTGCAACTGAATTGATTTCTATGACATAGTATTAATAGTGTACTTCTATAAGATAGTATTAACAGATTTTCAGTAACAAAGCATGCTTTATATTTTTCTCTATATATAGCTGTGCACTTGAAGTTTATGATACGCAGGATGTGATTTTTACTAGGAATATAGTTCTATGACACAGTATTAACAGTGTACTTTTTTTCTTGTAGATGTATTTCCTTTTGCCTTTGCGATTGTACCTGGTGAAACTGTAGACAATTGGAGGTGGTTTCTGCAAAGGATATCAGATGTCTTGCTGGGCTTTTTTGGGTTTTTTATATGAAATGTTATTAACAATATTTTTTGTATGAAATGGTATTAACAATGTTTTTATGTATGAAATGGTATTAACAATGTTTTTTTTGTATGAAATGGTATTAACAATGTTTTTTCTTTTTGTATGAAATGGTATTAACAATGTACCTGTATGACATGGTATTAACAATGTACTTCTATGACATGGTATTAACAATGTACGTCTACGACATGGTTCGCAAAGATTTGGTGGAAAAGGAAGGGTCGTGGAGACATGCCCTTGGTTTTCGTGTTTTTTTTAATACTTAAGTTTGGGTTATTAAAAAAAAATCTGGGTTGGGCTTGTTTTGGGTTTTTTTTGTGTTTTTTGTATTGAGCTTCTTTTAAGTTAGTTAGTGGCAGTCATGTAATTTATAGGAAATTCAACACTCATTTTGTATGTAGTAAATGGTTTTTGGGTATGTTTCTAAAGTGCATTTCATGTAGGGTTTTTTTATAATTTCAGCTCCTATTTTGAGTATATTACTAAAGCTCCCAATTTTTTATGCTTCTGCAATATCCTAAAAAAAGGAAGCGCTATTTTGAAACTATAAAAGAAGTAAAAATTGGAATATTGCAGAGTGGGGATGTTGGTGATCACTGATCATTATCCATATGTCGGCTTCTTTTGAAATTTATGTAAATTAAAAGGGAATTAATTTGGGCAGATAATGTTAAAGCAAAATTCCATTAGGTGAAAACAAATTGATGGGTTTTACGGATGGCTTGGAGGGATGGTGGTGATGAGAGAGGAGAGGAGGAGGTTTGGGGTGACTTGGAGAAGAGGGTTGGATAATGGTGGGTGGAAAAATAGGATTTTATTTTTTCAAATTTATATTGTGAATGGGAAGATAAGGTGAGGGGAGAAATACAACAGGAGATGAAAATAGAAGCACCCCTTTTAAATCGAACGGTCTTCAATGTCTTGGGCTTCTACAAAGAGACAAGGGATACTCGAGTCTTCGATTCCTCCTCACTAATATTGTTTATTTTTTCCTAAATTGTTACTTTAATTAAGTTGACTAAACTTTGGCTATTTTTTTTTTCCAGAACCCCCAAGTCAAGAGACTCAACTCAAGTTACTTCTAAATCAAATCCACGGTTTGACAATTTAGAGCTTTTGCTTACACAACTACAAATGCCTTCTTGGTTTGGCTCATTTGCAGCGCTAAGTTAGTATCTTCTTTCTCCATTCTGCGTATGTACACAGCCACATTATTGTAAATAATAGAAAACAGTATGCAATTTCTTCTCAAATGTATTGAAATATCATATCCTTTTGGGGGGTGGTAGGGTTACTTAACTTTTGTTTTGATGAAGTAGACATGAAGTATATAATGGTTGAAGTAGTTTTGATTTTCTGCCAAAGTGTTTGGTGCTCTCTCTGTCTCTTGTCTCTTGTGTGTTTCTTTTTCTAATACTTAACGCGGTTTTGTGATTAATATGCTTTAATTGGGGCCCCAACTGTCTGTCATTCTCTAGAAGCCCCATTTCCATCAGCTGCATTTCCTCCCATTTGCTGCAAATAATTTTTCCATCACTGAAATTGCAGTGAACATGGAAGGGATGACAATGTGGCACACGTAACCAATTACATCATAATATCATATCCAAACCAACAACTACCATTGAGATTATGGCTTCTTTTTGGAAAATACTTGCTTCCTTGCCCTCAAAGTAGGAACTCTTACTTGCTTTCCTGCCAATACAGTTTGATTTGTGTACAGAAATTTTTCGTTCTGTACTTTTGATGAATTATTTTCTATATTTATGTATCAAGCTGTGATTTGCAGAAAAAATGAATGCCTCCATCCTTCTAAGGAAGGAGGGAGGGACAAGCAGTGACCCTTCTTTTTTGGGTTTTTTTTTTCTTGTCCTATGCAGTTTTTAAAGTTTTGCATGTATTGTTTATCTCGACTCTTGTCAACATGAATTTTCTTTGAAGATGCTGAGAACTTTATTTATGAACACAATCCTTTGAGATACATTTAAAACGTCAAGCCATCCAACCACGTGCACCCCCTCTCACACTTAAGCATTTACTTGTTTGTCAACCTTTATCAATTTCTCTGCCTTTCCCACTTGTAGCAAAATTTCAGGGTGCCTTCCAATTCTTTCCTATATATAGTTGTATGGAAATTAGTTGTGTACTCATCTTCCTCTTTACTAAAAAAACAGAAAAAGAAAGGAAACCTTTTCAACGTTTACAATGGATACAAGGCTTGTAGAGGCAGTGAGTAGAAATGATATACCCACATTTATTAGCTTGGTGGAAAAGTATGAAGGAATTCTTGAGCAAAGAGAAGCTGATACTTGCAACACACCATTACACCTTGTGTCAAAATTTGGACACCATTCCATGGTGTCTGCAATTCTCAAGTCACGGCCTGATATGGTTGCTGCTGAGAATAAGGACCTGGAAACTCCGGTCCACGAAGCTTGTCGAATAGGGAATGCAGAGGTCTTAAAGCTCTTACTTGAGGCCAATGCTGGGGCAGCTACTAAGCTTAACAGTGAAAAGAAGAGTGCACTTTTCTTGGCTTGCAGCTATGGCCATGTTGATGTGGTGAATCTCCTACTGAATGAGCCCGGGATGCTAGGTTTGGTGGAAGATGGGCTTATCTGTGTGGCTCTGTCTGGTGGACACATAGGTAAGTAGTAAAATTCTCTCATTCAAATTGACATGTAAATTTGCATTTTAGTTAACTTTTCGGTCAATCCACGTACTTTGTACATGTTTAATGAAATCAGTATTGCTGGTGCAGATGTTGTTGGAGAGTTGTTAAGAGTGTGTCCTGACCTTGCTTCTGCAATTGATGAGAATGGTAATTCACCATTGCACTATGCATCTAGCAAAGGGCATAGGGAGATGACCTGGATGCTCCTAAGGCTTGATCCGAAACTTGCTCAGCAATACAATAACAATGGTCACACACCATTGCACTTGGCAGCAATAAACTACAGAGCTTCAGTCATTGAAGGATTTGTCTTTATGGCTCCAGCATCTTTTCAATTTGTCACAAAAGATGGAGAGACAGTATTTCACTTGGCTGTGAAATATGGTCAATATGCTGCTTTAGTTTTCCTTATCCTTGTCTGCAATGGGATGAATCTCTTTAATTGTCGAGATCGTTTTGGTAATACCATCTTACATCTTGCAGTTTCTGGAGCACAGAATCAGGTGAGATATGAATTTGCATTAAACAATGGTGATTGGTTTCTGACCAGGAATATAGAACATGAACTGCTGGAACTAATTTAAATTGTGTGCCATTGAGAGTCAATGATTCAGGAACCTCTCTTAGTCTTACTTGCATCTTGTAGTCTCTTCATGGACTTTTGTGTTTCTGCGGTCTTGTCCCTTATTCGTTATATGTTTAGATTTGTTTAAATGTTCAAAATAAAGTTTAGGAATTATCATAAAAACAAAGATCAAAATATTATTCGTGGCTTATGTTCTATAAGTATAGACAAAATCATTTATCATATTTTTCATGGATGTTCAAGGATGGATTTTAACTATATATTCACGTTTGTTCCAGATAGCAGAGTACATAATCAACAAAACAAGAGTGGAGATTAATTCTCGAAACTGTGAAGGACTCACCGCACTTGACATTCTCGACCAGGCTAAGGACAGTGTAGAAAATCGGCGTCTTGAAGCCTTGTTCGTGAAAGCAGGAGGTAAAAGGAGCATTGAGTTGTTATCACATTCATCAAAAGTAGATAGAGTCAGTGCTCAATCAGTGTCAATCCTTGAGAACGTGCCAAAAAGAGCCAAATTTGTTAAAGAGCATGAATTGCAGGTTTCCACTATAAATGAAATAGTTTATCCTGCATCCAAGACCCCATCTAGTTTATCATCACCCCTGTCTAGAAAGTCATCTAGTTTGCCATCACCCCAATCTAGCAAATCGTCACCTATGCTTCCATCACCGCAATCTAGGAACTCATCTCCTTGGCATGAAATACAGGAGGGACTTCACTATCAACCACAAACGCCAGAGTCCCTATTGCCAACCGTTGTGAGACAACACAAGAACCCTAGTGAGATTTTCTATGACCCCCACAGGAAGCAGCATAGGACATATAGAGAGGCACTACAAAATGCCAGGAACACTATAACACTTGTTGCAAGTTTGATTGCAACAGTTACTTTTGCTGCTGGTATCAGCCCCCCTGGTGGTGTCTATCAGGGTGGACTAATGAAAGGGAAGTCAGTGGCAGGCAGAACAATAGCTTTCAAGGTCTTTGCAATAAGCAATTATGTTGCGCTGTTCACGTCGCTCTCGATAGTTGTTGTTCTTGTCAGTATCATCCCATATCGAAGAAAGCCATTGATAAGACTATTGGTGGTTGCTCACAAGATCATGTGGGTAGCTGTGGCATTCATGGCAACAAGTTATGTTGCAGCAACGTGGGTGATCATGCCACATAGTTCAGAAAAAGAATTGGTACTTGTAGCTTTACTGGCTGTAAGCATTGGCACTCTGGGAACAGTTTTTATTGGTCTAGGTCTAATGCTGGTTGATCATTGGCTGCGGAAACGAAAGTGGAGAGAAGGAAGAAGAGAAAGAGGGGAGGCTAATGCAGACGCTGAAATGGGAAGCCAAAACTCAGACGTGGAGAGCTCCTACCATCTGGGATACCACTCATACTGATTGTTTCCACCTCCGGAAGGATTGTAAAGTATGAATATCTGGTTCTCAAGTAAGATATACTTGATTATAGTAACATGAACAGATGTGAATCATGTGATAGATTTAATATCCGTACTTTGTATTTGAACTATTGGTTGTAACTTGTAGTGAGGCCGAGGCCTAGTGTGTGAATAACTGATATTCATAGTATAAAATGTTGGCATCAGTTGGTTCTTTCTTCCTATGTTATAAGCTTAATCTTTAGCTGTTCTTTCTTTTCGTTAGTTGAAAATGAAAATAAAGATTAATTCTCAGTTAGAGTTTGAGTTGACCTAGGATGTTGCTGGGGAAAGAATTCATACAGCGTGATCTTCAGTCCCACTCAAGGTCCTCCTTTATATATACAATTGTTGTGCTTGATGATTTCATGCTTCTGTTGATAACAATATACAAAGCTTTAAGCCCGGCAGAGTTTGAATGGCAGGACAAGGCAGGAAAATTAAAAATCACATTCAGGACAAGTGCACAAATGGTAGATACTTATGGTACTGAATTAGAGAATCATGATTATGAACACAAGAGATGGAAGAAGTCATTTATAGATCACTCTAGAACATATTCTTATACACCTTTTCATCCATGTAATTTAATGCAATTTAATATCAATTAGTGTTAAGGTTCCCAACAGAACAAAAACTGTTTTGCAATGAGACAGCAAACCCATAAAATGACTGTGGCTAAGATGAACATGTTAAAGTTGGTGAGTGGAAATAGAAGAAGATGGATGACATCTACCCCACACTCACAGTAAGAACCTGATTCTCACATTCCTCTCCCTTGAATAAACAAAAAACAAAAAAATTCAAATAAAGGTAAAAGAATTCATCAATATCAAGCTTGTCCTGAGTCTCGTAGCTCATGATCACTATTGACAAGCCTAAACAAGTCAAGTTGGGAATTGCTGTCTGGCTCCCCTGCGTTTATATATTGTTCATTGAACAGTTAATTCAAAATTTATGCGGTTGCGCCATTAATCAAGAACTGAAATGACACTCAAATGAAGTTTCCCAGCTGTATTCAGCCCCGAATGTGGTTTTCTAGAAACCCCATTTTCAGTTGGTTTTCATTTTTAGTTTTTTTTTTTCTTCTTTCTTTACTCCATTTGCTGTCAAAGACTCATTTTTTAGTTTTTTCTTTTAAAGATTTTCTTGCTAAAACGAATTTTCTCTTTAGATTCTGTGACAACTTTATGGACGCAACACTATTTATCCTAGGTTTCTTTGTCAACGTTTACCAACTTCTGTGTCCTGCTATGTACTTGTAGCAAACATTCAAAGCAGCTTCCTTTTTCCCATATCTAGGTGTTTGGAAGTTCCACTTGCACTGAGTTGCTTTGAATGGATTTGTCCAAAAACAAGGAGGCAACAATAGATTTTAGGCTTTTAGAGGCAATTGAGAGAAATGACATACCAACAATTATTAGTGTGGGAACCGAATTAAATCACCCTAGGTCAAATAATTCCTTCCATTTGGGGATTATTTGACCTAATTGGGAGTTACCCAATTTAATTGGGAGTTACCCAATTAAATTGGCAATTACCTAATTAAAATGGGAATTGATTTGATTCCTACCCTAATTAGGGATTTGATTTAAATCAATTAAATCAAATCCCTAATTAATCAAATCTCACCTAATCGGGGAGGAATAATTCCTTTCCATCTACGGAATTATTCCTCTGAAACCCTAGCCTCCGAGGCTCCTATAAATACCTAGCTTCCTTTCCATCTACGGAATTATT